ACCTCCAAGACAAAGCTTGGTAAAGTCTGGTGGTTACACATTTCACTTCCACATTAAGAAGGAACAGTTTCAAATAACCACGTGCCTCAGCACATTAAAGGTGCAAATGTAACAAAAAAGAAATGAACTGGCTTTTCAAGCTCTTGCCCAGAACACACTTCGTGAGAGCACAACCTCTCAAGCAGACAGTAAGCAGGGAGAGAGGTTTGCTTTGCTTTTAAGAAATATATCTACAAATATATTTTAGCCATTCTTCTAAGTTGATTTTAGTCTATCGGTACCGTTGAACAGACAGCCTAGAATTCAAAAAACTACACTTTTTGCACTAAAAAGATTAATGTTGTACATAAGCAGAAGCAAGCACCTTGCTGACCGACACAAAGACAAAGAGATCCGTGCATGCGAGGATGTTACCCTCTGGAGTCCTATAAATCCAAATAAAGAGAACCAGCAGTCTCCCAGTGCCACACCTGGCTGGAAGCACACTCAATTACATCTGACTTCTGAAGTTACACAACTGCCAGACCCACTTGTCACAGAAACAGGGCTTACCAGTCAGCTAATTTACAACTTGGGTTCCTAGGAACTCATCTATTACCTTGTATAGCACACCAGAAGTTACTCACCCTAACATTCCATTTAATTTAATAATCAAGTGCTGAAGGAGAACCAGAATTGCCTCCTGGCTGAATTTAAGAGGCTTTTGAACTGCTCCAGTTAAACAGAACTCGCTCACAGGGCAGCTTCGTGCTACCAGAGAATGGTTAAGTACGCAGGCAGATGTAAAAAGGGCTTTTAAGGATGTATCTGGGACAGCCTCCTGCCCCACTTCCTCATACATAAACTGATTGCTGGTACAGAACTGCTTTTGCCTAGTGGTCACCAATTCAGGTGGAGCATATGTTGATGAGAATCAGCCTTCCAGACCAACATATTAACTCCCACAAGATGAGGCTTTAGGGTTTGGTGTGGGTGGCAGACAGAAGGCCTGTTTTGCAAGGCAGGCTATTTTAGTAAGTACAGCCACACCAAACTGAATGCACTCAATCTCACAAGCTAAGCTGTCCCAGACCCAATTACTATTTGCATTGAGATCACCTGGGAATCTCAAGTCTGCAGATCTATAAGCATCTAGAGCATCAAACACCTTGTAAATAAGATCACAAACCATAGTGCACTTCTACTAAAACATGAGAAAAAAAGCCTCCTGTAGAAACATTATTGAGAAAATCAGTTTTTATACACTTGGAGTTTGCACTTTTTTTACTTCAGAAATGTTCAGTCTCTGATTTTTCCTACAGGTCCATAATGACTGTGTGTAGATGGAAAAACAGCGACTTTGATCAGTCACATGGTATTCCCCAAATGCAGTATTAGAATTTAGGTTAGAGTAAATCAGATAGACAAAAATACTTCCCAAAATGCATAAAATAGTTACAGAACTAAAAAAACTGCCTGGCACCTCACCTCATTTTAGAAATCATAACTTCATGACCAGCCTTTACACTTCTGGAATTAACCGAATGTAAAAAGCCATTAAGCATTTAACTAAGACCATACGATACAGTCAGAAGCAACAGCAAACAAAGCTGAGAGCACAAGCAAACAACAAAGGTTGGAAGACTGGAAGGACACTGTCAGCCTTTACCTCTTATCTATGACCGTCTCTGAACTACCTTGAGACTCAAGTCATCAGGAGCAAAAGGCAGAACGCACCACTTTCACCTTTCAATTGCTCTGCCTGCAACTGGTTTCACTGTCTCCACAGTGAAGGTATTCTCTGTGCGTCAGGCTTCCACAAGACAGAGGAGACAAAATGCTCGTTCTAAAAAGAAGAATGCAATTAAAACCACAGGAGATGGGGAACACAGGAGAAAGCGCTGTAACTAAAAATACTTCCAGCTTTACCTCGTCAATTCTAAAGCTATTCATCGTTTGTTAGTGGTTTCTGCTGGGCTCTGCTGTTTATGTAATTGCTGTACCTCTACCTCCAATAGGCAGCGGAATAGCAAATGTAAAACACCACCTATAGAAGACAGCCTGTTACTCTCAGCAAATTTCAGACAGTTTGAAACATTCTGCCAGCTGCAGCAGCCAGCTTGCGGCACTCAAGAGAACATTCCTGAACCACAGAAGAGAAACCGAGGTGGATTTATAAAAGGTCCTGAAATCAACAGCAAACAACTTTGCGCACGTGAGAAGCAGACTTGTATTAGAGGCGTTAAATTATCCAATGACAAGGAAAACTTTATAAATACTCTTTCATTACAGATTAATATTACAGGAAGACTTATAAAGATTACGTCAGTGGTCCTTTTGCACAAATACTCTTGATGCATGCAAATGAATGGGTGTTGAAAAAATGTCAAAAGGTACAGACAACTGGTCATTGCTTACAGCTGGAAAATGCTTTGAAATCAATCTTACCCTGCCTGCCTGATTCACCACTTCCAGGAGCCAGGGCTATTAAGTGCCAGTGTTTAACTCCTTGCATCACCCCCTCACTGTCATCCCCCCTGAAGCCATTCTGATAGACCTGGCGGGACCATAGCAAAAAAAGATTCCTCATCTCTGCATCGCAGTGCTAACTGCAAGAACACAGTGCTGACACTCAAGCCCTACGTGGATTCAGCACTTACATTGGGCTTCATACCTCACCTGCAGGATGTTTTCTTAACAGCTAATACTCCAGAAGAAAAGTTGCCATTTGACAACACTCAAAATATTCAGCTTTGAAAATGTATTTCCATTATTTCTTTCATGCCTCATATTTATAATATACTTCAGGGTGGTTAACATGAGCTTTAAGAGTCAGGAGCCGTGCTCCTCAACTTAAGCCTGCCAACATCAATGAATACAACTCTTGCTGCAATTTAAAGAGCATTCAGAAGAGCAGGCAAAGGTGATAAACCTAACTTACTTCAGTACTATTTCTTTAGAAGCAACAAGTACTCAATGACTGCTAAAAAAACAATCTGACCTCCCGCATGCAAGTTTTACCTCTCCTTTATGATTGTTCCCATCCATGCCCCCAGCTGGCAGGCAACAACACAACAGTGCTGCAGGCTGCCTACATATCTGTATTCTTCTAGAAACAGCACAGAGGGGGAAAAGCCTACATTTATCCCATCTAAGCAGGTACAGAAACCCAAAAAGGCCTCCTACATACCCTTTCCAAATGACAGACCTCTACTACTGTATCATTCAATAATACAGTGCTCAGCAACAAAATACTCCCCACCCTTCTGTCTCTTCATACGAGTGTTAAGGTGCCCGTCTCCAGACTTCCATTGAACCTCTCCACATACCTTTCCCTGAACTATTCGTGCTAAGTATTGCATTCAATTCATTTCAAATTAATACATCTGCTAAGATGTATACTAGCTACCACTGCACATGGTATAATATATTTTTCTTATATGCAGATGTTACCAAGATGATGCAAAACTCTAGGAAAGAGAACAGGACAGTTACATCTGCAAGAAAAGAGCCAGCTAACACTGTATTTCAAGAGACAGCCAGGCCCTTGCAGGAAAGGCTTCATGTGAGGAGGTGGATGATTTCAGAAGAATCTTTCAATAATCACTCACCTCAGGTGGCCTCAGCTAAACTGCAAACAATGAGGAAAATCTAGAGCACCTGATGCCAAATGGGAGTTATGTAACAGAAAGGATCAGATTCGTTCCTCACTTTCTTACAACGGCAATGCTTCATGACAGAGGTATTCTGGAACTGATTCTGGGATTGTTTCTTTCCACTGTCCCTATTCTCTGACAGCTAATGTATGCAAGAAGAAACCTCACAGCTTGACTTCAATAAAACGCTATCTACGCTTCCACTAAAAGCTTCTGTTTCAATAATGCAGCGCTCTCTGTATGTCAAACAAAACGCATTCCTATTCCACAGAAGAGCAGTGTTTCATTCACGTCATTTGGCTTTTTACCATTACCTTTACAACACAGAGCTGAAGATGTTTTCTGAAGCCCAGCGTCTCACAGTAACAGGGTACGGCAGGCTGCAACTGACAGGTTGGTGCAGGTTCCAACTCTGACAGCAGTAACCTCAGTTGAGTGGCTCAATTTCTCCTGTCCAATACCTCCACCTGCCACAGCCTACTATAGAAAACACTCATTTATTGTACAAACACCAAGAAATCAGCAGAAATAAAGGAAGCTGTCTGTGCAAAGGAAAAAAACTAAGAAGTTTGAGGAAAGCAAAATTTGCAGAGCTGGTAACACGGAAGGTGACAGATCACTACCTTAGCCTCAACGTTTTGCCAGCTTAAGGATCAACACGCATGTTGACGTGACACCTGTATTTCTACTTTACATCACGAGAAATTCGGAACGAGGGATTTAAGAGGCGAGATGCTGCTACCACACCTGAAGAGCTGCCACACTGACATGCGCATGCCATGGAACAGGAAAAGAGGAAAGCTCCTCACGAACCTCCACGGCCAGCAGCATCCCTATTTCTTTACCTGAGATGCACCTGTGAAGAAGGCTGTCGTATTTTAAGACCCCAAGAAAATGCTATTGCACCAGCCTGCAAACTAACAAGACAGAACTGAGTTGCACACGCCACTATTCCTACATCAAAATCCAGACCTAATTACAATGTGATTCTATCTGCTGTTTCACGAACAGACGACAACCGCCTCCCAACCGCTGGCCTCTCCTTACCCAAGGCTGGCGGACAGCCCCAGTACCGCAGCGGGGACGCCCGGTCCCCACGACAAACCCCTATGCCCCGCAACGCTCAGCGCACGTCCCCACCGCTCGGCTCCCCGCCGCGCCGGCCGTCCCGGGGCCGCTCCTCGGAGGGGGGGGGGGTGGGCAGAGCCGCGAGAAGTTGCGGAGGAGCAACAGATGGGACGCAGCGCCGTCCCCTCCGGGCCGCGGCGGGAACGTGGGGTACGAGGGAGGTCGCGCCGCCGAGGCTGAGAGGCGCGGAGGTCGCGGCGAACCCGGCCCGCCCTCCCCGCACGCCGCCGCACTCACCGAGCCGCCCGGCGATGCGGACGGAGCCGGAGCCGCCGCCTCCCTGGGCCGGGCCGGGCCGGACCCCGCGCAGGGCAGGGGCGGATGGCGACAGCGCCGGAGCCGCCCGCACTGAGGGGAGGGGGGAGGAGGGGGAGGGGGCGAGCCGCAAAGCACCACAGGGGACCGGCCGTGCGGGCGGGCGTGCGGTGACCCGGATGTACCGGCTGGGAGGAGCGCGAATGGAGGGGGGGCATCCAGCAGGTGAGTGCGCACGCGCGCCCGGCTGCCAGCACACTGCGCATGCACCTGCTTTGACTCCGAGTGTCTCGGGCAGGGGCGGGGGAAGCGAAACAGAAGCGGGCGGGCGAGGCGGCCGGCTGCGGGTCGCGCTCCTTAAAGGGGCCGCCGGGAGGCAGCTCGTGCTGGGGACAGCCATCTTCCTTGAGGCGCCCGAGCTTCTAATGCAGCTCTCCAGGCTCCGAACTAAACGTGTGGGGCAGCCTATAGGAGCATTCAGAGCATCTCAGCCAGGAGCCTTCTGCCAGGCCTCAGCCTCCTGCAAGCTCAAGGAACACTTCTATGTATGTACACTCACATATACACGTATTTATCCTGTCCCTATTGGGTCCTGTCCCATCCTGTGAGGCGCCTGCAAAAGCAGGAGGACCCCTGAGCTCATCCAGAGGTACAGCACAACCCAGAAGGTCAACCGTATCCTGGGTTGTATTAAGAGAAGTGTGACCAGCAGGGCCAGGGAGGTGATTCTGCTCCTCTGCTCTCGTGAGACCCCACTTGGAGTACACAAGAAGGGCATGGAGCTGTTGGTGCAGGTCCAGAGGAAAGCCATGAAGATGATCAGAGGGCTGGAGCACCTCCTCTGTGGGGATGGGCTGAGAGAGATGGGGCTCTTCAGACTGGAGAAGGCTCCAAGGGCACCTTAGAGCAGCCTTCCAGTACCTGAAGGGGCCTACAGGAAAGCTGGGGAGGGACTGAAAGGGCAGGTAGCGACAAGACATGGGGAAAGTTTTCAAACTGGAAGAAGGTAGATTGAGACTAGATATTAGGAAGAAATTCTTTACTGTGAGGGTGGTGAGACACTGGAACAGGCTGTGTTCAAAGTGAGGCTGCGGATGCCCCCTCCCTGGAAGCATTCAAGGCCAGGCTGGATGGGGCTTTGAGCAACCTGGTCTTGAGGGAGGGTGTCCTTTCCTATAGCAGGGGGTTGGAACTAGGTGATCTTAGAAGTCTCTTCCAACCCAAACCATTCTATGATTCTATGAAATCCCAGCTGGAATCGCTTCAGCCCAGAACTTTGTCCTCATGTGTGAAGGGACAGCCTCTGCTGGCAATGACCTTCCTGGGCTAAGGGTTAAGGCTTAACACCCTGAAACAATAAGCCAGCATCATGCCTTAAGTCAGCTGTGCGGCTTATTTATTTATTTTCTAAGGCCTGACTCAGGGGTTTTAAACATTCACTGTGGGCAAAACTGTGATGGGAAAGAGCATAAACCTCCTTCTTAGCAAAAAAGAGAATTGCTGACTAAAGAGATGTGTATATCTTCTCCCAGGTGGGTCGTGTTTTAAGACATAAGCGGAAAAAAAAAAAAAGGGAAAATTTAAATCCTCTGGTGAGCTCTGAGCTGCCAGACCCTCCTGCAGAAGGAGCACCCAATGGCCAATATTGTGCTTTCTATCTCCCATAAATCAAAAGGTATGCAAGTTGTGCTAAGGAATACAAAAATGTACTTTAATGACATTTTGTTCACTGACTGAAGGACTTTTCATTTCCACATACACATCTTCATGAAAAAAATAAATTCTGAAGGTTTCACCTTTTGCACACTCACTTCAACACTCAGGCTGTGGTGTCATTGAACACTGAACATCATTAAGGTTGGGAATGACCTCTAGGATCATCTAATCCAACCATCCACCTACCACAATATTGCTCACTGAACGATGTCTCTCACTGCCACGTCTCCAAATTTCTTGAACACCTCCAGGGATGGTGACTCCATCAGTCACTCTGCGGAGGATGCACATCCCAAACTACCTTTACTTCTGATTTGCAAAAACGGGGATAGCATCAATATCCTGTTTTCGGGCCTGCTTCTATAGGAGAATTACACAAATACACACAGAGAAAGAAAAAAGTTATCTGGAATCTACACAATTATTTTCAAAACAGCCCCATGAAATCTCATCTGACCTTCACTACAAATGGCTGAAGAAGCCAAAGGCTCAGTTTACATTTGGTGAGATTGCTCACCTGATCCATACAAAATAACCACCTCAGTGAACACAAAGCAACTTCTGATTTCAAGGCCTTGCCTCTAAAAATTTGGTGCTGCCACTTACTCTATGCTAGGAACAGTTCTGAGAATGAGCAGGACAGCCAGAAGGAATGCACAGATACAACCAAGACAAAACAGGTGGCTGGCTCTCCTTGAAACCCCACAGAATCAATGTGAAGAGAGCCACACGAGCCACCTGAAAGCCTAATCACATCCAGCTACTTTCTCTTCTGAACCCAGATGCCAGTTTGAGAACTGTAAAATAAAAGTGAATGCTAAGCTCCCCTGAACCCAATTTGAGAAAGAGGAAAAATGGAAAGGACTTCAGAGAGTAATATGCAACAGTGTATTTCTCTTCTTTACATTTTCATAGCTGTATATATGTTAACTTAAACTGAACTCAGTTTCTCTCATAACTTGGTAGGATAAGAAATACGGCTTTAATAAACTTTTTTTTAAAAAAGTATTACGGATAAAATAGCCTCCTGGGATGCAAAGGATGCAGGCTGTGAGTGCAGTCTAGCTCTAGAATCTGCCTGATGCAATCAAAAGAATTCATTACGTTGTGAACTGCGTTCTCAAATAGCATTCAGACAACACCAGGGCTGGTAAACCATGTTCCTAACTGTCTGCTGCCTCCACCTAAGCAGGGAAAGTGCTGAGAGAAGCCTAGGGGGCTGTTACAGGTTAGTGCAGATTGAGCAAATAGGTGAGATGTCCAAAAAGATAGGAAAGATTTTCATAGCAGAAGTTTATGAGCAGATTGGCAGAAGACCAGAAGTCCTAGTTCTGCTTGTGTTTGATTTGTGTAAGTTAGGCTGAAGTGCTTGATGCGACCTTTCACTTCTGCTGCAGGAAGAATTTTTTGCAATCAGCAGATAAAAGATCTGCACTGTAGGAGATGGATGCAGCCTCCTCCCTGAGATGCCAGCAGGTCACTACCACATTTTCTCTCGTCTCTGTAGTAGTCAGCAGTCTGTGTGCCAGGCAAGGAGAGATCCAAGTCCCACTGAGCTGCATTCAAAGGAAGCAGAATCATGCTCCAAGTTTATCTTGGACGCATCATCTGTAGGTTTAATGCACCTCTCTTATAGAGAACTTTGTTCTGTTATACAGAGCTAAGGAAACAATGCAGTCAGCCTCAGGGATGAACAATTTTTGATGTTCATAACATTATACACTGCCTGGGGAATGGAGTGTTGGGGAGCGAGCGGGAGAAAAAACATCCTCTTCTACTGCTACTATAAGAAGTTGTATAGCAACATTTACTCTTTAGGGCTCTCCCAAATTTTGAGTTGGACCTCTCATCTTGAGTTGGACCTCTCACCTTTCAGGAGTACAAGTAAGAGTGCCTAGAACCTAAGTGTTTAACAGCAGCTGCATATAAGACATCCACGCTGCACATAATTGAAGCATAAAAATTACTGAACAATCTGGAAAATGTTGCATGACTTAAAACCCACTAATTTTCTATTAGTTCTGCCTTCGCTTTTAATTTCTTAATTGCTCCTTCTGAATAGAAAATGACTTTACCAGGTTATTACTGCGATAAATTCCAAAAAAATAATAACAGGAGATGATATTTGCCAGTCAGTATTGTAAAATTAGGAGTGTTAATAGAATAAAAGTGCTCTTATGCTCCCAAATGCATGTAGATTGTTCTGTTAATAGGAGTATTGTTGCCAGGTAAGTAAACTGACCCTTAGGAGAGAAAATAGGTCAGAGCAGGCTCATAGAGCAAAGATTATTTAGCTCTAAATGCAGTACTGGAAATGCACATCTAGTATGTGTGTGTGTGTGTGTGTACCGGTGACAAAAGATGAATTTATTTTAGATATAGACAGCTGCATAGATAAATTAAAATAGAGAAGCAAAGCTGTCCTTGGGTACCATGCACAGTTAGAATAACTGCTACTTTTAGGTTTAATGGTAGCCTAGGGGGAAAGTCCAAAGTAAAAAAGGAAGTCATCTTCTCTCATTTGTAGTCAGCAAAGACAACAGCCTGCACTGTCCATTGGCAACAGTATTGTCTGTATGGTGGGGGAACAGCACCAACTTTACCTTTCTGTGGATGAAAATGGTAAGCATCTCATATCCATACAGATATATGTACGTATATATTTAATCTCTAAAGAGACAAGATTTCTTATAGCAACATTTCAAGACTGGAAAAGTGCAGCAGCTTTGCAGAGATTCTTTGTTACACTGCTGTGGTTCATAGCACCTTTCAGATCAGATAAAGCTGACATCAGGTTCTGCCCTCCCCCTTCCAGATTTCTTCACCTTAGATGAGGGATTGCAGAAGCAGTCACATTCACACTACAGTGTCCTTAAGGGCTCTCATTGTAGGTAGCAGAAATTCTCTGATATAAATGTAGCTCTTCAGAAATATAAACAGTTGCAACAAAATATGGATGATCAACATAAATTTCAAAACAGCACAGACAAAACAAAAAGCCAAGGTCAAATCATTCTGTGCTTGCAAGGATGCCTGAAGTGCTTCCAGATACTGTAAGAGCAAACAATTACAATGTTTCACACTTGCATAGAGACAAGCACTTGTAATCTCAAAATGTCCTTTTTTTCCCTCAAAGGTCATTTTGATATTTAAGTGGCAAGTGGGGAAACCAATGCATTTCAGTTCTGTCTTTTTACAGCTAACTTGGAGACACTTAGAATCACACAACCACAGGACCTTTAAAGGCAGCTAGTCCAACTGCCCTGCACTGAACAGGGACACCTACAGCTAGAGCAGGTTGCTCAGAGCCCCATTCTCCCTGACCTTGAGTGTCTCCAGGGATGGGGCATCCACAGCTTCTCTGGCCAAAAACTGACTGTATCCCAGTGCTGTGCCCCAGTCACTTCACGTGACTATGTGAGTCATCTCCTCTTCTGCCTCTACAACGTCTCAGCTTGTTTTCAAGCTTTCTCATCTGTTGATGCAGTTGCTCCCTGCAAATGATCAGCACAGCCTCTTGGTGCAGCGTGCCTCAGCTAAGATCTGTAAC